CCATGGCCAGCACCATCCCAAACTTTTTTTGTTTGTTTGTTTGTTTGTTTGTTTGTTTTGAGACAGCGTTTCTCTGTGTAGTTCTGGCTGTCTTAGAACTCACTGTGTAGACAAGGCTGGTCTCAAACTAAGAGATCCACCTGCCTCTGCCTCCCAAGTGGCATCAAAGGCATGTGTTACCACTGCCCAGTCCATCCTGAACTTTTATTAAAGCTAGTGTTCACCACAATTCATAGCTCCACATTTATTACTGCACATGTTTTTATGGACTGGGACTGTGTCTTCCAGACTTGGATAGCAAAGTGCTCTGCACTCAGTAACATACAGCACATAGCAGAGGCTGAGGAAAGGGCTTTATGTGGGAACAAAATTGGTTTTCCTGTTCAGGATTTCTTTCCTCGGAGGTGAGCCCCACTTCCTAAAGCCCATGCTACTTCAGTCTCTGGAACTCACAGAGCCTGTCTAGAAAACTGTTAAGGCTCAGCATGTGAATGATATGAAGTTGGATGATATCTCAAAGTCCTGCCCTTCAGGCCAGACCTGGATCAGAACCATGTCTGACCTCTCTTCAAGTGATGCTCACATACCTAAACTCTTCTACTAAGCTCTGTCTTTCTATTCCTTCATCTCCCTCCTCCCCACAGGACACTTCTTCACCTCTTTCCCCCTCCAAAGCTCAAAGATATAACAACAGAGCAGCAGGAACAAAAGCACTTCAGACTCACACAGACCTGTGTACATGTTCAGACTCGGGCAAATAACACCTGCATGAACTAGAATAAGTTCCCTAAGCCCACAGAGTCTGTGTTCACATACATAATGTGGATGTATGATGGACAGAAACATTAATTTGGGGGGGAGGGTGTTTTCGAGACAGTATCCTGTATTATATCTTATGCACACCTGTACTTGGAACCTGTTGATTTCTCTTATTGTTTGTTGTGTCACATGTGAGTACATTTCTCCCTAGAGACATGTTTTCAAAGTATGGAAATACCCACCAAGAAAGGCCTGAGTCAGAGCCCTTTGTGATTAAGAATGTGTCCTAAGCTTGTCTTTCATACCCTGACACAAGAAAGTCAAAGCAACCCCAGAGGGGGACTTGCTACAAGCTTCCAGAGGCTTCAGAGGTTGCAACAAAGACATGAAAATCAATCTTGAACTCCATCTTTTAATTTCTCTTTTCATGGTTGCTGTTCTCAGATGGAGAATGCAATTAAAATTAATGTCGGATTAGTTCACTTTCCTCAAAATGAACATTGGTCAGATTCTATCTGAGGGGTCTGTAACATCTCTTCTGTAATTATTTTTAAATATATTAGTGGAGATCTGGGTATTGTAGAACAAGGGGAGTGTTTCTGGGAGACAGGAGTTCTGGGTTCTGGCTCTGGTTCTGTGATTTACTGTGTGACCCAGGGAAAGTCATGTCCTCTGGTTGGACACCATCATCTCTGTAAAATGGACCTGCTGCAACCTCACAGAATTGTCTAAGGCTTACAAGAGTCATGCATATTAAGGCAAAATTACAATCAACTTTATGATCACTACCCATGCTCCTGGAAAATATGACTGACATAAACCGCACAGGAACCAGACCACTGGGACTGGACACAAACACCACATCGTGCGAATTGCTAACTACAGAAGGATAACTGGCTTACACTGTAATAAAACGGATTTTGCTTTTTACTGTTAAATGACAAAGGAAGGATGAAAACAGCTGGGCCCACTGTTGAGTATTAAACACATTAGAAAATTTTAGCTCTAATAACACATGGTGGTTGGAAACTGAATCACAGGGCATGCACTTTCCACTCCTGCAAAAAAGTTCTGATCATGTCAATCTAGCTTGCTGTTTGTCCTAAGTACTCCTGTGGTCCCCCTAGTGTTTCTCTTCAGCACCCTCATTGGTGTCTCAGGATATTACCACCGAGGAAACACTCATTCATTCAGTCCTTGTCAACATCTGTTGGCTGTGAGCTCAGACACTTTCATGGAGCACCTGGATTTTAGTTGGTGGCATAAAAAGTTCAATAGCTATAGTCTAAATCTATCTACATCAACCTAAGTCCTGGAGTGATTGTAGCTATTCAGAAAAAGTGCACAGTGTTCACGGGAGGCTAACACTGTTAAAGTAAGTGCATGACTACAATCAGGCACCATGTTTAACAGCTGTCATGGTGCAGTGGATTCACAACCCTATTAAACTTTATCCTTCTGCCATTCCTGCTTAGAACAAACCAGATCCTTTCCTTTGTCTCAGATCATGAAACTGACAACATTTATATCCAGATCAATGCTAGAGAATGTAAAATTCTCCTGAAAGAAGACAAAAGCCTTATAATCATTTTGCTTGAGGGAAACCAAATGAAAAGGATCTTCTGATAGGCTGGATGCATCTACAGAGCCCCATTGTGCTATCTCAGGTTCTACTTTAGAGGCCAACATTTTTAAAGACTTCTTAAAATAAAAATAACATTGGAACAAGAAAAGGTCCTGTGAAAATGAGCAGAATCCCTCTTGGTGTTTACCTTTTCACTCTAAAAAATTCATTTAAATTAATCTTTATAGATACATGAAAATTCCACATTATACTCATCAAAAATATTTAAACCTGGCTGAATATGTCTATCTCTTCAAGTATTTATTGCTTCATAGTTCAAAAGAAAACATTTAACACCCTTTCTTCTGGTTGTGAAATGTCCAGACAGTGCATTCCTGCTGTCTACAGCCACCTGCTGCACAGACACAACAGGGCTTCTTGTCCCTACCTGACTGCAGCTTGGAACCCACTGGCCAGTCACTGCCATCCTACCCTGTCCCCACTCTCCCCACCCTCCAGTAACCACTGCTCAACTCTAAACTTCTTTGAAATCCACATTTTCAGATTACATATGTGAGTGAGGTCATGTAATGTTTGTCTTTCTGTGCCTGGCTTATTTCACTTAACATGATGATTTATAGTCCATCCACATCCTCACACATGGTAGACTCCCTTTTGCTGTCTGGCTGTGTAGCATCCATGGTATAGCTGCAACACAGTTTCTCTATCTACTCATCCATCATCTACTCTCCCACTGTTTCTAATTCTTTTCTTTTTTAAAATATGATCTTAATTAAAATAGAATTGCACTGCTTTCCCTTCCCTCCCTCCAGCTGCTCCCAGCTATGCACTCTTGAACCCCTGCCCACTCGCAAGTTAACAGCCTCTTTGTCTCTGACTATTGTTACATACAAGCACATTTACATGTGTATACACAAAATATATAAATATAGACAGCTAAGTCCACTTTTTGATGGTGTGCAATGGTTTCCAGGCTGACCACTCTACATTGAACAACCAATCAGGGGTCTCATGACTGAGAGAGGCTAAAGTTTCTATATAATAAACAAAGAGGTATAAATGTCTCGACACACTATCATTTTTTTCAGATTTACACCCAAGAGTACAGTTGCTGGGTTATTTTTATCTTTTTTATGAATGTCTACACTACTTTCCATGATGTCTGAACCACTTTCCATCCCCACCACACCCCTTGCGAACACTAGCTTCAGTCTTTCTGAAAATAGCCATTCTTACTAGGTTGTGGTAACATCTCACTGTGGTTTCCGTTTCTCTGATAACTACATTCCCCAGCTTTGTTTTCAGATGCCTAGTGGCCACATGAGTGTTTACTTTTGAGAAATGTCTGCTTAGAACTACTGCCTGCTCTTAGTCAGACTACTGTCACTGCTGTTGCTGTTCTGTTACTCACATTGAGTTCTTAGTGTTCTTATAGACGCCCCCAGCAGATGCATGTGTTGTGAATACTTTCTCTAATTCATTAGGGTTTTTCCTCATCCTGTTGGTTCCCATGACTGGGGATACTTTGTAATTTGATGAAAGTTAATTTTTTTTCTATTTTTGTCTTTGCTTCCTGTAGTCTTAGGGTCCTGTCCAAAAGCTCCTTGCAAGTGTTTTGACGTGATTCTTCTGTGTTCCTTCAGGAAGCAGCATTTCAAAGTTTGGGGGGCATATTTAAGGCATGTTGTGCCTCTCAGACAAATTATGTGCTTGGTTCTGAAAAAGCTCATAGTTTAATAGTATAAGGATAGTGGGAACAGAGAGGGCAGGCACTTGAAGAGTCTTAAAAGAACAAATGATCCTTTCATGAACCCAGTGGGGTGATCTATTGTTCTGAGAAGAAGCCACTCATTTAATGAGAACAAATTGATTTTTCACATAAAAATTTAGAAGGCTCTGAAATAAACAGAAGGTTTTTTTTTTCCACTTCATCTTCCTGGACAAGGATTTTCTGTAATAATAAAGTCAGGTTGAAGCAAAGGTTGAAAGCAAAACCATGTTAACGCAAACAGAATGTGTCTGAATGCCAATGGGTCAAGAGTAGAAATAGATTAAATGTAAAAGAAAATTTGAGACTAAATTTTGACAGTTCTCACATGCAATTCTGAAGAATCTGAAATATGGATAAAGGGAAAATGGTGAGGATTCATGTTTGTTCAAATGCCAAAGTGCTTTTCAGAGAGTGAGAAATAGAGACAATCATGGAGGTAGAAATAAAACTAGACATAGACATGGAGATAGAATAGAGACAAGTAGACATGGAGAAACAGGTGGACATGGAGACAAGTAGACATGGAGATAGAGGTGGACATGGAGATAGAATGGAGACAAGTAGACATG